GGGAAAAAATATTAAAATCAAATAGAAACGTAATTGATCTTACTATAAACGTCAACGAAAGTACTGTATATTGGTAAATATTCGATTCAATTACGCGCATATTAAAATGACCGCGTTCGTACTGAAAAAGCATCCGTGAAGTGAATAATCAAGATATAAACTAAAAAAAAAGTTTACTTTGCATGTTGCACGCAGTGGAATTCGAACTTGACCATCTCCGGATATCAACAACTTATGGCAAGCATCTTTGCGCACTCAGCTACACCCAGCCATATAAATTTGCTTTCAAATGTTGTATATCCATCAACACCACAGCACGCGATTTGTACGTATAAACATGTACTATGTATGTATGTGTGTGTTGTCACCGCTCTCAGAGCGGCGCTCTGCATGCTTGGGGTGCGTATGTACACTCAGATGTGAACAGTCAAATACGTGCGTAATGAATTTTGTATGAAAATATTATTTTTAAATACGAACATTTTTAAACGATGATCAAATATAAAGTATTCATTTTTACTATGCATTATTTCCCTCAGTGTATAAACAACATTTAAATTGTACTCATGAAACACATTGCCCAAAGTTTCCCAATTGCCCAAATTTGAAACTTGTGCGTATAGATGAGTACCCTTACTACAGGGCTGCCAGACGTCCTGGTTTTCCAGGATTTGTCCTGATTTAGACAAATTGTCCTGGTGTCCTGGTCCACACTTAAATTGTCATGGGCTCGAATCGTATGTGACGATATCGTACTACTCGTCACGTAGAAACACTTTTTTCGGAGTATGACATCCGTGAAAGTACTCTTTGTCCCATTCAGCATATACTACCTGACGTATCACGTAATTTTCTTTCGTATCGTTTTCGATCCGTAAACGGATGTTACGTTTCGAGCCCTGGTTTTTAATGAAGGTCAACGCAGACACTCCTCTAATTTTTAGTAGTTTTTCTATGAAAAAAAGGTTTATCTTTAGAGTGGTCATACACAAGTACTACCCAGCAGATAATTTCAGGAGCTAAAATCTCATCCAAAACTCCTTTCTCCCTAATTTTTTGTATGGAGCGGTACAAATTGAAGGGCCTCGGCTTTCGCTATTCAAAAAAGAGCTTTCAGAAGGGCTTTTTTAGGACGCCTTTTGAAGAGGTTCTTTGCAAGTTTTTCTTAATTCATAAAACTCATACTTCTTTAAGTGTTATTTAGACTTAAAATGCTTATTAAATCTTATTGGTAATTCTAAGTAAATTGTAATAGGGATGCAATTTTTTCAGTCCATGCTGCGTAAGTCAAACTGCTCAAACTTCGACATCATCGGTAGCAAAAACCGCGAAGTCTGTTCTGCCTTTTCCAAGTTGGATAAGGAAGCAAAGCGTATGGGTGTGGTGGTAAACGAGGCCAAGACGAAGTATCTCCTGTCATCAAACAAACAGTCAGCACATTCGCGCCTTGGCACCCACGTCACTGTTGACAGTTACAATTTCGAGAAAGTAGAGAATTTCGTTTACTTGGGAACCAGCATTAACACCGGTAATAATGTCAGCATTGAAATCCAACGCAGAATCACTCTTGTCAACAAGTGCTACTTTGGACTGAGTAGGCAATTCAGGAGTAAAGTCCTCTCTCGACGTGCGAAAACCACGCTCTATAAGTCACTCATCATGCCCGTCATCATGGCGCAGAAGCATGGACAATGACAACATCCGATGAGGCGGTTCTTGGAGTATTCGAGAGAAAGATTTTGTGGAAGATTTACACTTTGGCGACGGCGAGTACCGCAGACGATAGAACGATGAGCTGTACGAGCTTTACAACGACATGAACATAGTGCAGCGAATTAAAATACAGCGGCTCCGCTGGCTTGGCCATGTCGTTCGAATGGACACCGATGCTCCAGCTCTGAAAGTATTCAACTGGGAACCCGCTGGTGGCAGAAGAAGAAGAGGGAGGCCCCCACTGCGATGGAAAGATCAGGTGGAGAAGGACTTGGCTTCATTTGGCGTTTCCAATTGGCACAGAAGAGAAACGACTGGCGTGATTTGCTGAACTCGGCCAAAATATCTTAGGAAGAAGAGAAAAATAAGTAAAGAGGATAGTATAATCGTTTGTGCCAGGGATGAAAAAGTAGGTACAATTGTACCTTTTTCCGACGTTTGATGA